TGGCCCCCACATATTCCAGAGCTGCCGGAGTCACAAGACTGGCCCTTTGGTCATCCCGGAGCAGCAGAAGTCTTTCTTTCTCTCTCCCCCCGAACTCCGCCAGAAAGGAGTCTTTGCCGGCGGTGCAGCCGCTTGGAGCAGGAGGCCTTGCAGGGTCCCAAAGACTCATTTCTGGCGGAGTTTGGGGGAGAGAAAGAAAGACTTTGGCTGCTTTCCTTGCGTGCAGCCAAAAGCAGAAGAAGAAAGAAGCGGAAAGAAGCAGCTTGGGGGCCAGGCGAGGTGCGTGGGGCGAGTGGGGCAAGTTCCCCCCCTCCACCCCTTCCCCCCCCCCGCCCGTTACTACCCCGTGTTGCTCGCAATGCAAGCGACGCAAACCTTGTGTTCCTCCGCAGCCTGGATTCATTGCTTTGGGGGGGACGGGACATTTCTCTGCGGACCACCCAAATTTTCTCGCGGACCACCCGGCCCACCAGTTGGCAACCACTGTCCTAGCGGGGTGGGTGGGTCAGGTGCGGCCAGTGGGGCAGAGGCAGCTCTGGAGGGGCTACCCCAACTAGCAGGAGCCTCAAACTTTGCCCTCGGCCTCCCCCACCCTCTCTCTGCCCCCCACAAAGCCAGCTGGGGCTGTTGGGGACCCTCCAGAGGGATTTGGGGGGGCACCTTCGTCTCTGTCCCCTCAGATGACCCTGAAAGACAGACAGGAGGCGGCTGGTGGGGGGCGCTCAACCCTCTTTCACCCCGATTCAACCTTCGGCCTATTGGCCCTTGCGCGAGGATGAAGGGCCAATGAGGGGGGGCGATGGGGGGCCTCCAATCAGGGGCCAGCGGGAGTTTTTTGGAGGGAAAATTCGCCTATAAAAAGGGAGGCGGCTGAGGGAGCCCGGCCAGAGCTGAAGCGAAGAACCAAGAGGAGGGAAGTCCCGACGGCATCCAGCCTCGGAGAAGACCGCGGAGGAAGGCTGAGGTCTCGCGCCCGGGAGAGAAGAGAAGCAGCGCCCCGAAGACCTCCTCGGCCAGCTCGGGGCGGGGAGCGGCTCCTCGGAGCCACCGGCGGCTTCGCACGGGGCAGAACTCGGCCGGGGGGGAGCCCAAGAAGAGGCTTCCCGGCGAAGACTCGCTCGCCGCGTCCCGTCCCCGTCCCGCTGAGGAAGGCAGCCTCGCCCCGCCCGGGACTGAATCGAGCGGCCGGCGCCGTTTCCAGCCCGAGTTGGAAGCGCGCTAGCTGGGCCGGCCAGGCAGGGAAGCCTCGGGGGGGCCGTGAGCCGGGAAGTCTCCTCAGGTCGGCGGCCGCCCACGCCGAGAGAGGCCAGAAGCCCGGCCAGCACCCGAGAGAGCCCGCTGGCCGGAGGGACGCCGAGCATGGGCGGCTCCGCCCTGGCTCCACGCACTCGGCGGCCTCGGGAGGACGCCCTGTGTGGGGCGAAGGAAGGCGGGAGCCGGCCGTCCTCCGAGCAGCGCGTGGGGGGCCCCGCAGCCGTGCCCTGAGGGAGTGGAGGAAGCCCCGGGTCGGGTCCTGCTCCGCGGCTGAGCCTTCCCGCCGCGAGCTCGCCTTCTTGGGCCACGCTCTCGCTGAGGACTAGCCGCTTGGGGCGGGGGGAAGTCCCACAGCGTAGTGGAGAGTGGGGGGGGAAGGTCCCATGCCCCGGGTCCCCCGACCTCCCTCGCCTTCCCCGGCTCACCATGGCCGTCGTCTCCGCCCAACGGCTCCTTCCTTCCTCCGCGTCCGCCTCGGCGCCCCGGGTCAAGCCTGCGGGGCGACCGCCGCACGCCTCCTTTGCGAAGACGCCGCGGAGCAAATACGTGAGCGGCACAGGCGCCGCCCAATGGCAGCCGGGCAGCTGGATACACCTGGTTCTGGTCGGCCAATCCGAGGGGGCGGGGCGGGACTTCTCCGGCGGGGGGGAGGAGTTAACAGTAGGCGATTGCTGCTGCTGCCCAGGTGCGCTGGACGTAGCCGCGCCGCGCCCATTATTTACCTGACCCCCCCCCTCTGGCCAAGCCCCCCCCCGGGACAACTCCCAACAGCTAATGGGGGAAGGAGCGGCCGGTCGCGTTTGTTTGCCCAGCCCGGAATGCGACGCGTCTCAGCCCCGATCCAGCCGTGGGATCGTGCGCATATACCGAACGGTGATGCTTGGGCTCAATAAAACGGTTCAGTCAAACGGAGGAGCGCTCGATTTTTTTTTTTCATCCTGTTTTGCAAAAGTTTATATTCAGAGCGAGCCACAAAAACGCCCAGATCGCATAACTTAACACTATTCCAGGGCTCTCCACCCTTGGCCACGTTAAGCTTGGCGGACTTCAACTCCCACAATTCCCCCAGCCGGCTTTTTATCTGCAAAGAGCAATATCCTAAAATCTGGGGAATTGTGGGAATCGAAGTCCGACAGGCTTAACGTGGCCCAGGGTGGCGAGCCCTGCTGGAGCTCCTGTGGCAAACATAGCCTCAGAATACACGGGTGGGGTTGAACGACCGTCTGAACCCCACCAAAACCACCTAAACCCTGCCAGGCAGAGAGGCCGAACCCACCTGGGGGCGGGGGTCTCCTTTGCGTGTCTTCCCCCTCCCCTCATTGCCCCACTGCAGGGTCCGGATCCCAAGATCAAAACGGAGAGGGCAGCTCGCCCCCAAAGCCGCCCCCCAAATCCCCCCGAAGCCATTTCGCGTCTTCCAGACTGAGCGTCTCGGCCCTTCTGAAATTTCCTTCCTGGAGCAGTTTGGCATTGTTACCTTCCCGGGAAGGAAGTTGTGTAAGACTGCCTCCCATCCTGCGACGCCTCCCCCCTTACCCGCCCCCCGGGAGGAGGAACTGGCACGAAACCCCTTTGCTGCCTGGCCGCCTTGGGAAGATTTGCCCCCTTCCCCTGCCCCTCGGTCCGACTCTGGGGACAGGCTCAAACCTCTGCCGGGCGAGGGGACCCTCCTGCCCCGTGGCATGCAGCTAAATTGTCCCCTCGTCCATCCCAAGATCTCTTGCAGAAAAAACAAATACACACACAAAAAAGCCCCCACCCATTGGGGGTCTTTTCTGGGCAGGCAGGAACGTGCTGGGAGGGTGGGGGGCTCGGGCTGAGCTCTTCGGCTGCCCAGAAGGGATGGATGGCTTCCTGCATCAGGGTCTCCCTCCATTTCAGCTGCAGTCAAGGATGATGGGCGATGCAGTCTGGTTCTCAAATGCCAGCGGAGCCTCTGCCTCCCACCCCCCCACCCCCTACAAACCACAGTGCCCTCCTCCCGTGGGTCTGTTCTTTGGGACCCACCCCACTTCTGGACACTGGCACGACTCCAGCCGCTTCCGACCCAATGGCACACTGATCAAACTCCTCCAAAGCGCCACATTTTTTTCACCCTTGCCCCCATTTCAGGATCCAGGTGTTCAAAACCCAGAGAAGGAAGAGGTGAGCCCGGCGAGGAGGAGGGTGCCAGGGCTGCCAGTTGCCGCGGCGGAGGGCAGAGCCCTTCTTGCTTCAGTGTGTGCTCAGTGTGTGTGTGTGTGTGTGTGTTGAAAGGACACAGCTGTTGTTTTCTCACCGGGCTAATGTTTCGCTCGCTCTTGTTTTTACAGCTGTGCAGCCGCGGGGCTGGCATTTTCTCCTTTGCGGATTGGCAACTTCTGCCCGTTTCTTTGCAGCGCTGGAGCCCGCGCGCGGGGGGGGGGGGGTGTGTGGAGGGGAGGGTGGGAAGACCAGCCTGCGCATGCCCGGAGCACGCGTTTTTTGCCTCCAGGGTCAAAGTCTGGCGGTTGTGTGGCAGCGGCCCGGGAGGCTGTGTGCCCTGCAGCCTTGGGCACAGAAATGCCTGGCACCTTCCCAACTCTTGGGTGGTGGTTGTTGTTCTTTGCAAAAGGCGCCAGGAAGGCTTCCGCGGACGCCCAAGGTGGCGCTTTTGCCTGCCGCACTTCCCCATCCTGGTGAAGCCCCAAGTCCTCGCAGGTCCCCTTGGCACCAGGTGCCAGCCAGGTGCCCCCGTTGGGCTCCACAGAAGAAGCCACGAAACGCCGAGCTTCAAGAAAAGCCCACCAGGGATTAGCGGCGCCCTCCCCCTCCCCACTTCCAACGATTGGCCCGGAATCTCGGCCGGCTCCGGGGCCGACGGGCAGGCCAAGGCCACCATCCCTCGGCGCCCGCCTGCCGCTCCGTTCCGCTTGCCGGAGAGCGCAGCATCTCCGTCCCTCTGCTAAGGCCGGCCCGTTTCTTGGCCAAGGCTGCCCCCTGGCGGCAGGAGCGCAGCGTGACACCCGGCCACTTTTGCGCCGCGGAAGCGAAGGCACCGCGACCGCCGCCCGTTATTCTCTCCCCCCCCCCGCCCCCGGGGCCGCGCGCGGCATCCTCAAGCGGTCGACTGGGGAAGGGGCCGGGTCCAGGTCCTTCCTCTCTCGCTGGATCGGTTAGGATGCGGGAAAAAGGATCCCCGGGCGGAGAAGAAGCAGCCACGGGCGAAGAAGGGGTCACGCCCAGCCTCTTGCCCCACACGGGATCCTAATCCATCGGGGAACCCCCTACCCCCCCACACCCATCCCACCCCCGCCACCCCTTTCGGGAAGGAGCGCCTCGCGTTAGTTCCGCGGCGCGGGGGGAAAAAAAAACAAAAAACCAACCTCTTCCTCGACAGGTAAAACTTCGGCGCAAGCCAAAGCGAAGTCTTGGGAAGGGGGCGATCCCGTCGGAGGCGCGCACCGGCCCGGGTGCCCGGCAGGAGCCCGCCGGGGAGGGCAGGGGCCGCGATCCCCGAAGGAGACTCACGCAGCGGCCCCCTCGCCCCATCGGCCGCCCAGCGAGCCCCGCCGGCCAAGGGCTGCTTTAGGGCAGGAGCGTCGCCCTTCCGCGGCCGGGGTTGGGGGGGGGGGGGGGGG